CTATAAATCTCTATGTTCTTTTTTAAGTCCTTTATTATGTAGTCATTAATATGAGATTTAGAATTATTTTTGATTTTAATTTAAATTTAGTAAACAGTCTAAGTGTAGTATTATAACTAAAATAGTCCAACATCTTATGCGTATTATTAATTTTTACAAAGTGTCTTCAGTGAAATAATTTAATAAGTTTCAATGACAATTTTACTCATTATAATAACTTAAGGAATTAATAATAATGTTAATATAAAACATGATTTCATTTTGTTGACTTTGTTTTTTCAACCATGTAAACATAAGAAGCTTTACATGTGAGATATTGGTAGAAACGTTTCGTTGAACAATAAAGACTGAGAAAAATAGCTACTCATAGAATACAAATGTATGCAAAGTTGCAGATCAATAGGAACAAGTATTTGTAGTATAGAAAGGATGTTTCTTTTATTTGGTAATGATACAAGTATAGGTGCTTAGTCCTTACGGTTCCTTTTCATTACTGTTCAGTACTGGTCGGTTGCAGTTTCCACTGTAGGCAGCTTTTGTGCATTACACTGCCCCTTTTCTTTATGTGTGTGTTAAGAATAACTTTCAAAGGGCTATTTGAGCAATCCAAAGGCAAAGAACTCTATGGGAGATATTTGTGAATTGTATAGTACAGATAATTTGTTTGTACTTGTATCTAGTGGAGAAACTTTCAGGTTGATTTGGACGTGTGACTGATTGATTGAACCAGACTTTACTGGTACCCAGCCTACATAATGATGGCATTTCTTTGCTGTATAGTGGAATCAGCACTTTAACCTGGTAGTGTACAGCAGTGTTTACCTTGGCCTTTTTTTTTCTACTCTTCATGTGTTTAAGTTTTTGTAAGAACTGTGAACTGCAATGACTGTAAATCCCTAGAAAAAACTTTTGTGACTGTTCTTTACCATTTTAGAGTTGTATCACTAACAAGGTGTTGATAAATTGATCAGACTTTTGTAGACACTATATTTTGTCCACTGTGATAACATACTTTCATTTAATAGTAACTTGACAAAGAATGATTTATAAGCATAATGAAGTGGTTATATTTGGGGGAACATACTACATGTTTTCACAGAACATTTGTTTAGCATTAAATCTTCTATACAGGTCTTGTTATGATTTTAAGACTGCAGGTACTATAAACCACTTATCACAACTGAATGTAAAACTTCAGTTATTATGACATCTATACTTATATCAGTAGGGAATCACCAAGTGAAAAGATGAATGCTGTTACTCACTATTTGCTTCAGATGGAGACTGAATTAAATAGCAACCTGGGTAACACTTTGGATATGACTGAGTTATTTCATTCATGAAACTTGTACCATGTTGTAGGCTTGTTTTACCTGTTTTGTACTTGATCCACTGGTAAATAGTTAAAGAAGCCATGATTGCATATCCTTGCAAAATTTTATAGAACTAACATACTTTAGAAGTGCAATAGTAAATTATGATTTACTTTAGAAATGTTCAAGCTACTTGTTAATATGATATATTTCCTGATATTAAAAGTTTAAGGCTGTCAAACAGAAAACAACTGAAGTTGACTTTTGTACAAGGTCGTTTCGGAAGTTAACATTTTCAATGTTTAACGTTTTTGGAATTTTTAGATGAAACACCTGTCAACTGTGAAAGATTTTTGGATGGTAGAGGAATGGAACTGTTCTTAAAGTGTTTACAGGTAAACTGAATACCAATATTTTATGTTGTAAAAACAGGAGATATTTCATAATTTAAATAAGGAGATTTTTTGTTGTAAAAACAGGAGATGTTTTATAACTTCATAAGATTTCATGCTTAAAAAACAGAAGGAGATCACTGGGAGCCGTGTGTTTCAAGTTAAATGTTTGGAGAAAAGTATATGTAGTCTCTGTATATATGTGTGTATCTGTGGAACAAAAAATGAATTGGAACTAAAAAAACTAAATAAATCCAACAGTAGTTGACTGTGGAACAAAAAAAGTAATATGAACTAAAGAAATGCAATCATAGCTATGTTTATTATACAGTGAACTGGGACGAAAATGTCTGTAAACAAATATCTTTAGACAAATCCTAAGTCCAACATAACACTGAAGTGATCCATAATTAATCTAAATTTTGTAATTTACATAAGTCTGCAAAAATCAATGTATTGATTCAGAAATTGTGAAATAGTGTAAAAACATGTCCTATACTACTTGGGGTCTATTTACCACAAATTATTTTTTGTCAAAATCAAATGTGGAGTAGTTATTTTATTTAGAGCTTATTTGTAATGACAACTTTCATGAAATATATTAAGTATTTAGTATGCTTGTTGAACTTATTAGTTTTTCAAGTACTAATGCTGGATCCTGTGATTTGTAAGGGGTCCTATATTACTGTGAAAATCTGTTTCAGTGTGTGAAAAATTCTGAAAATTAAAATATCAACCTTCTGATAACCCATATTATTAACTATCAGCAAGTATGTTAAAGTATTCGAAGCTTATACATTTCTAATTTCCTTTTTAACTGTTAAACTACTTCAAACATATTCTTGAAACATGAAAACTCATTTCTATCATGCCATTACAAACATTATATTTTTGCATGCTTTTTATACACACTTCTCTTTGTAGTGCTAGATACATGATGGAGACATGTCATGTTAGCCATTCATACATAATTATTTCAATCATAATGTGATTATTTACAATGGATTAGTCTGTCATGAATATATATTAATAGCAAGATAACTGAAAAAAGTTTAACTAATTTGTAATGAAAGTATAATTTTTTACAAATTTTGCAGTGCATCAAAAATAAAATATGCTATTTCTAATATTGAATGACTGTTTTGCTGCCATGTAATTTATTGTAAAATTAAAATGTTGCTTTCTCATATTATGTATCGCATTGTCATAAAACCGTAAACATTCTTACTGCTTATTAGAAATAATGTTAACGTGAGAGCCTTTTATTCTATACAGAAGTAAATGAACCTTTTTCAAAAGTTAATGTTTAAGAGTATCAAGTATTCAATCTAAAAGAACCAACAATAAGATTATAACTATCCATAGTAGTGAACTGATTTGAGGAATGTTGGTTTGCAGCATATTCGTATATCTTTCTTTCTATTTAAAAATGTTTCAGTGCTTTTATCTGAAAAATACATGTTATGTAACTTTTTTCAGGTGTTAAATGTTACTTATACTAATTGCTATATGCTCTTTACAGATGTTCCTTCTACATTCAAATAGCTAATATACTAGTGTAAAAGATCAAAGAAATATGGCTCATGGTGACTAGTATCAACCAGACCATTTTCAAAATTACTTGGTAAAATTCTGGATTATGGAAAATTAAACATATATATATATATATACATACATACATAGAGAAAAAATTAAAAAGATAAGAAAATTTTGCCATGTTAAAATGAATTTTGTAAAAAGAGAAGAATTTCAATATCCTTTGACCTTAGCCATGTTTATTTCTTAGACATTTCCACTCAAGGCTGAACTGCTTCGTAATATGATGGGGTTATTGGTAAGTTGATAAGTATTCTAAAATATACTGTTTCTCTGTTTTTTGTATGCATCTTTACTCATTTGTTGTGTACAGCATCCATGCTCAATTTCTAGTATTTTACATTTCATAAGATACTTCTGCTATTTATATATTGTGTTTTATGATACTCTCAGGAAAATAAGGCAGTACAAAGAAACTATTAGTGAGGTATAAGAGATTGCCTAAAGTATGATATGCAACAACATACTTGTAATATTTAACTTACTAACATAAAACATGTAGATTAATCTTAGACTTCGCAATTAATAAACTTTCTTAACATGTGAACCTAAATTCGTTAGAAAACTAAACTTAGTATCTGCAATTTAATTATTGGTTGAATTTCCAACTACTATTTCTGTTTCTTGAGTATTAAGTTCTGTATATGTATATAATGCATAAATTTTATGTTCAAATTCATCAATAATAAATAAATCATCTTGTTATATAATATAGTATAATAATATATGATACAATATATTTGTTGTAAAAGCACTACTAAAGCAAATCTTTTAAAGGTTTGTGGGTTTTTATGTTTCTCCCATTGAGATGTCAACATAGAAAAAAATCTCATAGATTGATAGGCTATTGTGATTCTTCTTAATTCATATTAATGGAAAAGTTTGTTGTGGGTAGGCTCTGTGGAAAGTATGGTTTGAATCTGTGTGATACCACAAAATATTCCTTACACTTTAAGCTGTGGGTGTATTATAAGAGTGAAAGTCAGTCCTTTTGCATGGGTGGTAGGGTACTGCTGACTGGCTATCTTCCATTTGGTCAGTATTTCAAAATTCAGGACACTGTCAGGAACTACTTTTTAGTAGTATATATATATAGTAATGTAAATATATGGGTGTGTTGGGCTGAGGATTCTTCTACACTAGGTGTCTGTGAATTGTTGGCGATAAATTCAACAATAAGCAAACAGCACGCACTCCACATGTTTTTAAAGTAATATATACATTCGAAATGAGTTAAACATACATACAAAAGTTCTTTACACTATGGAGATCATAGTTGTATCTTAAACACAATACAGTTCTTTTCTTCTTGTCAAAAGTCCACTTAGGCCAATTCAATTGCTTTAGAATTCAGTTGACAAGCCAAACTTGTATCCATGTATAATTCACTTACTCTGTCGTGTGAGTTACCACAGTTTTATCCTGAACTTCCAATAATCATCTGCTCTTTGTACTTCCAATAATCATTTGCCTTTTTCGTCAAAGTCCACACAGTCAGGTTCAGTTAGCTTAGAACACCCTTTGACAAGACAAATTATTATCCTTATCTCTTTCAAACTGTTAATCTCACTCTAACATATCAACCATTATGCCATTCACTCCCTAGATGGTTAACTTTACATTTTCTAAGTTTTCTCTGACCGAACTTCTCTTTCACATGACTTTACTTTTACTCTCTTTCCGCTCGTCTGGTTGCAGCTATTTATACGTCTATCACTTAGGCCTTCTGAAAATCTCCATAGCCTCAACATCAATGAATTACAAACACAAAATTAATTAATTAATAATACTAGGTACACTAAACAGTCTTTTTATATCTGACAGACACCAGCAGATAGTTTCTGTAACTTTGTCATAAAATTCAATGCATAATGAAAAATTTATAATAAAATAAAACTACTAACCCACCTGTCTTCTATAATTTGAGTTGTTTGTATATGGCTCCCATTGGAATGTAGATATAGACAGAAAAAAAACAACTCAGATTGAAGACTATTCTTCTTAAATCTAATTTGAAAAAAGTCCAGCTGATTTTAAGTATAAATCAAAACAAATGTCAAGAAATAAAGTTTTGCTTTGTTTGGAAAAAAATTTAGTTAAAAAATGTATACAAAAAGAGATTTAAGGTATTTTGTTTCTTTGAGAAAACCTATGTGACAGGTATCAAGACAAACCTAGATTTAAACTGCCATTTGCCTTTTTTTAACAGTAACATTCAATTCATTTATATCTTTATCACTTAATTTTTATGAGTGTCTAACTTTCTAGTTTGAAATGCTTTATTTGTACAATTGATGTGCTATATCTCTTTTTCCACTTTTCCTTACGTATGAATCTTAAGTAAATAATTAAATCAACATATAGTTTTAAAGTGAGAAAATGTTGTGTACTAATTCTGTTTATATGTACCTTATTATTTATTGAATTTTTTATGCTGTAGATACAATTAGCATCCAGCAAAAGATGTGTGACAAACTTTCAGTATCTGTAAACTCAAGATATTCTAGTTGTTTTGCTTGAAAACATCCTTCAATGTTTTTATGACAAAATCTTATTCAACTTGGTTTGGGCCTTAGGTTTTGTATTTTTTTAAACGTTCGATATGGTTTAATATCAGAAAATATAAAAAAACAGAGTAAAATATCTTGGAAAACAATATTGATTTAGGGAAATTTCAGCCTTCTGAAAAGTTACCAAGTTTTCTTTCATTCATTCTTGGCTTAAACAAGGGAATCCTCAATAACTGCGGCTATTATTAGATCTCAAATCGGTCAAGAGATGTAGCTATGAGCTAAAAGTTTGTACATGAAAAAAAAAACTCGGAGCCATACTATGAGCTGCTATGACTGTATAGTTGTATTGAGTTGGTTCTGTTTTTCTATAACTCTTAGTCTGAAGGACATTGAATAGTAAAAACATTTGTTTCATTCAGTTCAATCAGCTAATTAAAGTCAGTGTAACAAGTGAATTTGCTGCTCACTGAGTAATTAATATGCTTAAGAAAGGAGGTTTGGATAGTTTTTTTTAAAACTGAAAGCATATATTCATTGGTGACTAAAATGCCACTTTATTAAATCTGAATGAATGCCTTCATTGACTTAGATGTTGAAATTATTCTAAACGTACAGGATTACTTTACAGTATATGTAAGTAAAAGACAACTTTTTTTTTTCAGTCGTTAACTTGATAATTAAAATAAAAATACATAAACTATAAAACAAGTTTTCTTTGAAGAAAGTTTTATATTTTTTATTTTTGACTAATGACTGTATTTCAGGGGGTAGAGAATCTGTGACATAAAAAAACAAAAATTGAAGCCTTTCTTAAAGTAATATTTTCAAAATATCATGCAGTTTATAGTTTTCATAAATACTAGATAGTCTTTATTCACTTGAGAATTGCATGTACAAATGTTTTGTGTAATTAAAACAGCCCATAATTCTAAGAAATGCATTCCAGTGGTAACAGTCTGCTACTGATATGTTTTGAATTCCATACAAACATTTGGAAAATTTTGAACAAAGCAGCAGTAATTTTTATACTCTCCAACAATTGACGTTAGAAACCTTATTAATTCTGTACTTTATGACTTGCATTATTTTCATACAGATTGCACACCCATTGTTGTATTGATGCTGGTGCTGTCGTAAACACTGTGCTGCTTTTTATTTCATAAAATATGTTAGAGGCTGTTTCATTGAAATGTAGTGCATACATTGTTTAACAGTCTTATTATATTAATATTTCTTTGTGAAAAGAACATTCATATACCTTTTCTGCCACTGTCCATATTTTGGAGACATTTTACAAGCCCAGCCACTACAGTTCTTTTTTTTTATGTGGGACAAAGTACCTAACTGTCACATTGTTGTTTTAAAACCATTCTAGTGCTTATAGGGAATTAATATATATGTACTTTCATAGTCTATAAAGGACTTTCTGTTTTGTTTTTGTTTTGTACACATTTTTTGTAGTTTTGAATACTCTATTCCAAGTAAATTGCTATCCCCACTTGCAAATGCGATTGGTTTTTAAAACTTTATTGCCAGTTCAAACACACTTTGAAGCTGATTAATAAAGAAGAGAAGTCAGTGCAACAATGTATAGCACGTAAACCACTACTATGATTGTAATATCTTAGCAAGCCTGATGAACCCTGGTATTGGATGAAAGAGCTTATTAACATTGGATATGGCAGATATTATGTGGTTAACATGTTATTATCACATATTCTCCTCTGCTTTCACTCATGAGTTCTTAGAATATATGGTCTTATTTATTTACAATTAAAAGGAGTACAACATATTGTGTAATGATTTTAACATTGTATTCCTTTTAACTGTAAATAGATGTTTTACACAAGTGTCATTTTAAATCATTTATGATCTTATTGTTTCAGAAAGTTTTATCGTTTTATCTGAGAGGTTTTAAAAAGGAGTTGAATTATCATTTAGTTTCAGTTGATCATTTTGTTATAACATTACCAACGTTTTTCTTTCCAGCTTATAATGAAGCAGTAATTTGTTTGTTTTTTTATTTAAAAAAAAAAAGGTTTAAGTTTGTCAGTTTGAGTGTTAAGAAGTGCTTTACTAAAAGTTGGTAGAGAACTAGGGAGATAGAAATACTGGATTACTGTATGATAAGCTGTTGCAGCTAATAAGATCCAACAGGTAGACATTGCCAGCCTTATAAAGTATAAAAAAAATATTTGTTAATAAGTCAAGGTATTGAAATAGTGAATTGTAAATAGAATATGTCTATTATTGTATATATATATTATATACAAAGCAAGATTTTTTTTCTTTAATAACTTATTTCCCTAAAACAAGATTAGTAATTTTTGTATACATATTTTACAGGGAAATGTGGCAGAAGTAAAGTCTTTACGGCCAAGACTAATGACAGAAGAATACCTCCAGGTATTCAGGTGAGTCATCACACATTATCTTTTCAAACAAAAGAATCACTTTTTATTGTAGAAACTTGTCTTAAAAAAATAATAGTTGTTAGATAAACACTGTAAGTGTTATATTTGCTTGTTACCCGAGGTCTTAAGCGATCAAAAACATTATAAGTGTACTTTCTAAATTACTAGACTTGAGATTTTCTGAATTTGCTAGTATTAACCCTGTTGCAAAGAGTGAGAACGTTTCAGATGTCGAATGCACACCTGCATATTGAATTGCACAATTTAAGGAAATATAGTAATTCTAATTCTATTTCAACAGTTCTTTACTCAAACATATTTTAGAATAATATTTTATTTTTTAACATTTATTAAGTGCAATTTGTACTTAATGAATATTCAAACTTGCATTTCTGACCAACTCCAAGGAATCAAACATGTAAACTTCACATTTATCTGTTTCTTTAGAATTTGTTAACCTATCCAAAACTGTCATCCATTGAAGATACATTTATTCAAGGCTTGTTTCTCTCTTGATTTATTCTCTGTGACTCAAGATTTATTATTACACACTTCTGTTCATATTACATGCTGTGAGGTCATGAAAGGGTAGGAACAACTATTAATGAAGAATAGCTTTGAAAATAGTTACAGAAGAATTATAAATACCATTTTGTAGAGCATATTATACATTATTTATAAAAACATGAAGTGAATAAAATGGTATGAAAAGTAATTTATGGTGTTGTGGGAAAGTTGTAAGATGTAATTCTCATATATCTGGGAAAGTTTTTATACTTTCTTCAGATGTTCTTTTTGTTCATGAAAATGTTTTTTATGTTAAATCATATTTGTCTAAAAGCTATGGTAATTTTCTTATATGACAAGACGTACGTAATCCTTGTTAAGTTTAGAGTGTATGATAGAAACAGCAAAATATTCCAATAACTCAAATCCTTATTTATTGAATATTATTATTAAGTTTGATGTATTCAAACAACACATATGAATAAAATATTGTATGATTTGTTGAAACAAAGTATAGTTATTAGATATAAATTGATTATTTAAAAGTATTATAATCATTTCCTTGTCTGATGTGACACCAGTATGAAAAGTCGAGTCTTGGGTAACTGCTAAACTTTATCAATTTGTGTGATGTTTTTTTCAAATTTATAGCTGAAACTAGTGACTACAGCACTTGGAACAATAAAGTTTCAAAAGAAATATCTTAATGAAATCCAAGCAAATTGAAATTCACGAGATGTATAAAATGAAGCTTTTTTGTCAAAATGTTAAGCCCATCATGTTGAATTGAGTTTAGAAAGCACAAAAGAAATATTATGTTGTCAAGAAATTAATGTCACGGTTTGGAACACTACCCCCCAAAAAACGTACATCACATATAATAGTTAAATGAACTGCCTAAACGTTACATTAGTGTTGCCTATATAATGTGTAAAGTTTAGTGTACTCTAATCCCTTATAATGATGGCACACGACGAGACAC